CCTGAGTGCCACGGATGGAGTTCTATGGATTGCAATGCATGGGCCACATTCTCGCTGCTTCCTGGTATTCACTAAAACCAGTGGACTCGAAATAAATAATGTTCAACTGCTCTAATTTTAGCATAAAGTTGAGATAGCTTGTTGACCAGTGTCATTGTTTCAAAGAGCATAACATTATCCAAGAAAGCAGCAGGGCTCATAGGCATGTTCTGCTGGAGAGTGTTCGCACAATATCCACCATAAACTGTTGTCTGTTGCTATGAAACAATCTGAGACGATCAAATGGTGCATAAACATTGCATAACTCATCAAAGAGATCAAGTAAGGTGTAGAGATAAGGGATGGAAGGTAATTGTGGCACGGGCAGAGACCTGGGGAGGGGTAGAAAACTGAGATTGGAGAGCACCATTGAAGCGGTGTGGGCAGGAAGGAATAGACATCCCAGTTAAAACACTGGTGAAAGTTCCCCCAGCAATCTCCACGCGTGGCTCTTCAGTTTGATCTTGTGGTATCTTGGAAGGATTTCTTTTTCTTCTTCCCATGGAAAGGAGTCAGGAAGTAATTCTACAAAAAAAAAATCTATGGGAAATTTCTTATTTGAGATTTTGAATAATTTTTCTTACTTTGGTCCATCTTGTTGCTCAGTTATAAACTTCTTCACCTTAAAAGGATGACCACTGTCTTTGTGCTGATGCTTCACCGTTGCAGAGCAGCCAGACTGACTGACAACATGGAGTTGTCTTTGCTTCCCAAATCACCCCGGACTCCTGCTTCCTCCATGTGTTTATGCAGAGTTATTAAGTCCGTTCTTGCCATCCCTTAGCAGAAGAGATCAAACAGCAGATAAACCACTCATGCCTGCAGCAGCACTCCCGCATTGCCTAACTGCCTATTCTTCTTCCAGAGGCACCTTCCTCCATCCCACCCCGGGGAAAGTGCTTTGGTAAATAGATTAGCTCTGCTCTGTGTTCAAACACAGAGAGTCTGGCAGGTTGGCAGAAGAGGGAGGATTTTCCAGCAAGCCTCTAAGTGGCCACGGAAATATCTGGCCACTCAAACGGAAGGAGGAGGGAGAAATGTAAACCCTTCGGTTGATGAGTAAGGAAAGACTTTGGTGAGTTTTTCAACCTGCCGCTTGTCTGAGTTAGCAAAAAATTTTAAGTGATTTCAAGAGAAATGGATTGCCCCACTCATTCCACTGGGTGCCAACTCTGACTCGGAGATAATGTTTACTAAATTGAGTTAAAAACTTCCCTGCTTTTCAATACAGGAAGGAGGAGAAAGATCCTGTTAAAAAGCACTGCAGAGCCCATTTCAGAGCTCTTGTTTCTGGTGACCTTTTAATAATGCACAGCAGGACTGAAAGCAGCAGTGGTCCAGTTCCTCAGCTTCAGAAAAATGAACCCTGTTTTCTGAGGCTGGGCTACTTCAGCCTGTGACATCCGTGGCACGTAACATTTTACAGGGTGCCGGTGACAGTCCTACAAATGTGACAACGGGGTGTCAGCTGGGAGAGGAAGGAGCCTTTTCCATGTCTTTGCATCGCAGATAAATCCCCTTGTGTTTTGAGTTTTGGCATCTTCAGTTGATTACTCACGCTCAAGTGTGAGGGGAAATACTACAGAGCTAATTATAATCGCTTTTAATCAGATCCTGCAGCAACTCCTGCAAGAAGTTTTAAGTGAGTGATGCACACGGTCTGCGAGGTTAGTGCTGCTTTACCACCGAATCCCAAAATCACAGAATCCTGGAATGGTGTGGGCTGGAAAGGAACTTGGAGCTCACCTAGTTCCAACTAGGTGACTCGTGTCCCTGCAGCATGTAGGTATGGGCCCCAAACCATAATGCACAAGGAAGTGTTGGAATACTTGGGCATGAGAACTGGACGATTTGTTGTTGTTAACAGGAAAATTCTTAACATTAAAATGAACCCTCATTTTGAAAGCCTCGAGCTTGTAAATGGATCGATTGAGTCAAGGTTTGTTTCCAGGAAATAAACTTGCGCCTTTAAGGCTGTGCACAACCTTCCCTCTGGAATGGCTGAAATGCAGGGCTGGGAGTGCTCTCCCTCCACTTCAGGGCCTTGTGTGTTTGTCAGTTTTCAGGCTCTCTGAGGAGGAAGTTCTGCCTTCTGGTATGGGGAGATCAAAGCGTGGAGAAGGTTAAGACACTTGAGTGGAGTTCTGGGTGAGTCAGCGGTGCTTTCCGACATCCCACTGGCAAATCAGTTTGAGGCACAGGTTAATAAAAGAAATCAATTAATTACTTTATTATTTGGTCCTCAAAATGCCTTACAAAAGGAGTTCAGGATTTTCTTGAGGATCCTTGTTCTGTAGACAGAAAAACTCTTCTTCTTCTGTCTACTTCTTTAAATACATTTTCCCCTCCTTTCCTCACCAGTATTAATTTTGGGGTCTTATATCCCTTTTTTCTTTCTGTGAAAGACCTCTAAACAAATATGCTTGGGACTGAACTAGGTCTTTTCCAAGAGCATGTTCTGCTTCCTCCTGTTTTCTGTAGGGATGTGGAGGGCCACACAGACAAGTGGTGAAAGCTAGGGATTGAGCTGGCCTGAGCAGGGGCAGGTTATCCATGTCCTGTGCTGGAAGAAGGCTCTCCACAGAAGCAATCAGTGTTCCCCCAACCTTTGCATCTCCTGCAATGTTTCTAGAAAGGCACATCTGCAGCGTTCAGTGCCACGGTGTGCTTTAGTATGGCCCGTTACTTGTCTGAAGGCTGTGCCGGCTGTAGAAGCCAGAAATGTGCATTTTAACAGCCAGTTAAAAATAGCTTGGTTTGTTGTAAATCACCCTCCCCTAGCTGGTATTAATTTCCATGGAGTTGAAGAATTTAGAATTCTCCTGGTTTCTGCGATGGCTGCACACTGAATTCGGAATATTGCCGCTTCCAAACAGAGCTTTAATGACATCAACAGTAAGTTCTTTCCAGCGTACTGAAATCCTTAAGCCTTAAAGGAGAAATAGCTGCTGCATAATCTGCTGTGTTCGTCTTCCATGTGTTTTCATTCTTTTTCTTCTTCCCTGTACGTTTGAATTGAACAGGATTCAGTTCTCCGTTAGGCGTTCTTGGACTGGCGGTAGTATTGTTTTGGCTTTGTTTCCAAGTACAAGTTAATGTAAGGGTGGCATTCCAGCTTTCCAGAGGGGAAAAACACCAAGCCAAAATAACCTGACAGGCTGTGATTAGCTGTGCAGGTGTATCAGACTTGTATGTTCGCAGGTAATCTGGCAGTACCGGCTTCATTTGGACCAGGGATGGAAACACAGCCATGTTTCTGTTTCCAAAACCAGAACAGATCACAATCTTCCTGTTATCCATTGGATAGCTGTGGGGGCAAAAACGAGGCTAAGTTTCCTGCACTGCACACTTAACTGGTCTGAATCTTATTTCTATCACTTATTACCATTCTTACTTCTATCACTTATTAGCATTCTTTAAATCAAAAACAATTTAAAAGAGTTTTCAGACTTGTTTCCCCGAAGTCCTAGCAAAAAGGTAACAAGAAAAAGTGAGTGTCGTGAGGAGTTAACTATGGAAGGAAAATCTCTTCTGAGGCTTAACTGGAGGCTAATAATGAGTTTCCACTGCCTGGAGGTATGTTGGGATGAGAAGGAAATGAGTAAGGCACTGTAGTGGGGCTAAACTGGTTTTGTTTTTTCCATGCTGGAGATGGCAGGTGAAAAAGTTGGTTCCTCTTTGTACCTGTACATCACAGGTGAGAGGAGCATCTCCCCATGTGCCCGGTCCACCTCCACACTGAACATTTGGGAGCACAGGCTGTCTCTGAGCCTGTTTGTGCAGCACAGCAGGCTCTGGGCAAAGCAGGGTGCTGCAATATCCAAATGCTCCAGCCAACGCTGGCGTTGCCACAGCTACACTTGCTTCAGCAACTTCAAAGAGAAAGGGGGGAAAAAAGTGCCTCAGCTGTATGTGACCTGAGCTGATTCGTGCTGGGAATTAAATCCTTTCCAGAGACTTGCAGTGTCCAGGATGGAGGAGAGAGGGAATTTCTTGGGACCAGCTTTTGAGTTTATCATTTTAGCTCACCCCCTTGCCTTGGAAAGGGACATACATGTGCTCTGTTTGCTTGTAACTGCTGAGTAAGGTATGTGATGAGTTGAGGTGGAACTGGAATTAAGGTGTACTCTGCATTCTGAGAGAGTTGGCTGTGGGGGAATTGATAAAATCAGGAAATCTTATCCATCTTAGTGTCTGAGATGCAGGTTTTGTGGCGGCCTGTCTTGCATTTGGAGTGAGTAGTTGCTTTTGAGTACAGAACACTTGCTTTTGGGTATGGAACCCAGGCAGAGGGCAAGTGTAGGTGCCATAAAGAGTCACCCAAGCGATGTAAGGGAGGAGCACTGCCCGTCGCTGAACCAGAGGTCACAATGTCTTCAATGCTTCTGTCCATCAAGAAAATGATATCCTGGCTCTCAATCCCAGCTCTGCTCCACTCCTTTCTTTCTGGTGGCAGGTGTGACCTGGCCTTCTTCTGGAGCTGGACACAGCTCTCCCATCTCATTACTGCTGCTGCTCCTTGGCAGCCTGGAGCTGAAACACGAGACTGGGGCCGCGTCCTGCGTCCTTGCACGTCCACACGTGTGAGGCGGGGGTCCCACAGCAGCAGCGGGGTAGGGGTGCACACAGCAGGACGTGCGGCTGGCTTCTCGAGGGACTGCATTTCCAGGAAAACCAGATGAGGGAAGGGATTGAATGGGGTGAGTGGGGTTTAAGGATCAGGTGCTCGGGACAGCCAGCCAGCCAGCACGTATTCCTTACAGCGTCACTGGGCCGAGGGCTCGCCTTACGCCTCTGGCACGGGCAGAGCAAATTGTACTGGTGGGATATTCCCGTTTGTCCCAGACCCCAGGCCCTCTGAGCCGGCATCGGGAAGGTTAGGTGTTCACAGGGTGGCCCCCACTTATGGGGCTCACCCCATTGGTGGCGGGCATTGTTGGCTTTCAGTGGCTTTAACAGAGACGCTCCCACAGCCCGTTGGGCAAGTGAAGCAAAATGTCACGGGGCGGGGAGGGGGGGAACTATTTTGATCCCTTTCACTGGGGGGGCAGAGGGGAGGGAAGAAGTGGACCATAGTAAATGTCACATGGGCCTGAAGTTAGTGTCCCTCCGAGCGTGGACAGTGTTTGCTGGACTCTGCCTCTCTGTTTGAGCTGGAGCAAATGTGGACGGCGAGCTGCTGCGAGCCACTGGTTCTCCTGCTCAAGGAGCCCATGGGACAGCTGGATCTGTGGAAGGACTGGAGGTAGGTCTGGGCAGTCCGGTTTGGGACAGGACACTGAGAGGCAGAATGAGTCAGGAGGGGTGCAGTGACCTCCGGTCTGAAATTCTGACGCTGACTTTTCCCTCTGTGCCAGACTCGGTATTTCACAGTGTTTTTCCTGCTGATACGGGTCATGACCAGTATAAAACTCTTTTCAGGTGCAAGGTCTTTTGCACCAATTCTGTTACTGTAACCAGGAGAGCTTTCCAGAGAGTTTAGGAGCTGGGGAGTCCTCTGAAAGGCAGCTCTGGGGTTTTCACAATCCTGTGCCTTCCAACAGCTCTGAGAGAACCCAGATGTCCAGTGGAAACTTGTCATTTTGCTGTGCGCTCCTGCTTGCTTCATTGCTGCTTATGTGGGGATGATGACAGAGTGATTTCATGAAAATTAATTTTTTTTGATCCCACTTATGATCTGTCTAACCTGGGCTAGCATATACAGTTACTTCTCAGATAACATCAGGCTGGTGGTTTGTTGTCAGTGGCAAGTGCTCTTGCCGAGCCAACTTTTTGATCCGTTTAAATCATTTAGATAAGTGGCATAACATCTCCCTGGAATGCTGAGATAGCAAGATAAACCACGTTTGGTGTTCGGAAGAGAAAGGTTGTGTGTCTCTCTGTATCTCTCGGGAACTGTTGAATGTTTTTTGGTGTTAATCTGCAGCCATAACGACCCAGCTCTAACCTGCAGTTATTAATTGGGAGCAGAGCCAGCAAATGCTGCGGCGTTGGAACTGATATTCTGAGAATTGTGGAAAACAAAGCTGGGCAGAGGAGCAGCAAAGGGAATTGGTTTGCGATAACCGCATGTACAAGGAACAATGAGGGACAGAGGAAGGCAGGGGACGTGTATAATGGGCTCTGTGTTTCTCAGAGAGACCTAGTTAGGAAGATGAGGAATAAATAAGTCTTTGAGTCATTCCCTTTTCCATATTGGAAAGCCTCCTAACTGTGTCGTCACAAAGCATCTGCATGCTGGAGATGTGCAGTTTGATAAGGTATGATAGATTGTGCTGTAAGTGTGACAATAATAAGGGCATGTCTAAACACACAGCAAATGTTTTCCTTCTCCTGTGGAAAATGTTTACACACACTTCTCAGTGGAGTGGGGGGAAACGAAGTCCCGGGATTTATTGCTTCTGCCACAGGAAGGGAAAACACGGGGACGGCAGGCTCGAGGAGAGCTCTGGAGAGGTGAGCTGGATGCTACAGCCTCCCCTGAGAGTCACAGTCGCTTGTCCTCTGCGGGGGCTGCTCCCCTCTCATGGGGTCTTTCTGCAGTCCCCAGCTGCAACTTTGACCTGCTGCCGTCCTCCAGCACATCCGTGAGGGCAGGGCTGCCTGGTGTCCGGCCAGGACAGCCCGCGCTGGGACTTCCCTCACACCTGTGCTGGGAAACAAGAGCCGCTGTGGGAGCGCTCGGGGCTGTGGCACAGGTGAGAGGGAGAGGAGCACAGCGCTGGCTCGCTGCCAACGCCATTTCTTCTTGCCATTCTTCCTCCTTTTATTTTCTTTCCCCACCCCAAAGCATGGGAATGTAGTAATTGCATTTTGACCCAGTTTCCAAAATCACTGTAGCATAGACTTTGGCGGGGGGGGGGGACCAGGGGGAACCGCTTTGGAATGAAAACCAGCCATTAGCTAGTACCAGAGGGGCAGAACAGCAGCAGACTGTTACAAGTATGCACTAACAGCCTTGTAGAACAACTATTATCCTGCATGTTCTTATGGAAAGAAAAAAAAAAAAAGGTAATTGCATTTACGTTTTTTTGATATTTGATCCCTGATACACAAACCTTATGAGCCCGAGTTCAGGTTGCCTTCAGCTAAAGCACTCTAAGCACAGAGGCTTGTGTCAAGTGCTTGGATTTTCAAAACTTGGCCGGAGGTTTTGTGGCAGCCTTTCTTGTGGTTATTTCTGGCACCTCTGGCTGCCAGTTGGAACACGGGGCTGTAGATCTGTGGGGAAGTGGAAAGGAATGGGTGTGAGCGCCTGCATGGAACAGGAGCCCTGAATAGCAACAGGCTTGGGTTAAGATGGGGTTTTGAAATGCGCAGAGACTCGGGGAGCAGATGTAAGTATGAAAACCAAACCAATTTCCTCATTCCGGCTATTAATATGAGAGGGGGGGAAAAAAGGTCCTTTGAAGTGATTTCAAACAGCAATTAATATCCCTTGGAATCTCCCCGTCAACTCAGTGAGGAACCTTGACTGAGAAGCTGGAATTTAACCTCACAAAATGAGATAGGCATGCAAGGAGAAAGGAAAGGCCTGAAGGGATTGTCCTGAGGGATAGGAATATAATATCTCCCAGCTTCTGCTGCACTGGTGCCCATGCAGCTCTTGGCTGCCCCACTGCAGATCACAGCTTTGTAAGGCAGTGCTCTGGCCTCAGAGGACAGGCTGGTAGATGCCTTGAGGATGTCCCCTCCCTTGGTGGGGCTTTGAGGTGGGACCACGAGTGTGCAGGAAAACACAGGCGAAAAGTTGAAGGCTCTGAGAGATGGAGGTACTCCTCTTGTGTTTGTGTTAATCAAAAGATATGCGAGATTCTCCAAAGGCAATATTTTATTCTGGTGTTATGTGCAAGCGTAAAGTGAAAGCCTGCCCTTTGACAGCACTCATATTTTCTTAAAACGCTCCACCAGAACATGCTGTCCCGAATATCCATCAATACTCCTTTGTGCCCGAGCCCCATAAAGCACACAGCGCGGGATGTTGTCTCTGGACAGCCATCTCCTGTTGCTACACAAATGTTGAGGTGAAGCCCGAGTTTATTAGTTTTTAAGGCAGAAGATATTGTTTCTGCACATTTTTACTTCACACGGTGCCTTAATTTCTATTAGTCTTAAGGTGATATGCCTTGGATTTATTTGGCTTACTGGAGGGCTGGAGGAGCCGAGGCCAGTCGGACACTTCATCTCTCGTACGTGGCAGCCTGGTCCTCATGGCTGTTCTTGCAGGTCAGTGCTTCTGAGGTTCCACTGCCTGCCCTTTGTGGAGCTTCCACAGCACCAGGCACTCCTTGCCCTTGAACTTCTGCTCCCCAAACTGCCTCCTTCCCATGGAGAGGAGCTTGCACGTGGGCTGTTGGCCGCAGCCTTTTCTAGCGACTGCTGCTGAAGGGAACCACGAGAGGTATGTAAAAAGGTGGTTTCAGCAACGGGTCTGGCAGGCAGGTTTCTCCTCTGAACTTCCTGGTGCTGCCTCACCTAAAGTGCATGGCTCAGCGACTGCTGAACAGGGGGAGCAATGCCCAGAATATCACGAAACCACAGGATGGTTTGAGTTGGAAGGGTCCGAAAAGCTCACCTTGTTCATCCCCCCTGCTGTGGGCAGGGACACCTTCCACTAGACAGGAGTGCTGGATATCTGACAGGGCTGACCGGGTTTTCATACCTACAGGTATCTATCCAAAGGTTTTCTGATGGACTGCGTGGCTTTTGGGTGGTATCAGCATGTTTTGCTTCTCCCTTCTGTTGGGGTGAATCCCAAAGATCTGGGGCTACACGCTGGGGGTATTCCTTGTCTGCCCACACGTGCAGGAGCTGCTGTAGCAGAAAACTGCAGAGCTGGGAAGAGTACTGAAAGAGCAGCCAGCTCTCAGGGATGCTTTTTCCCTTCTTTTTTTTTGGCCTTGTTTTGGCTTGGACAACACATTGCTCCAGTTTCACTTTCACTCTGCCTTTTTTTTTTTTTTTTTTTCCCCTAGAATGCTTTGCTTTTCAGACTGCCCTTAATGGGCAAAGCCCTTTTGGAGTTGTATGTGCTCCCAGGGGATTGTTGTTTGCTCTGTTTCTGTTGGAATTACCAAACAAATAATTTAAAAATCATTAAGTCCTCAAAGCTTTATTTATAGAGCACAAATCTCTGGCTAAGTAGGACCTGCCAATGTTTGGTTTTCAATGTTTTGTTTAGGATATGTTGGTGTAAAAGATGAGAGACAGAACAAGAGATGTGAAAATCCAAAGCAGTGAACGATAATGCTGCTGTTTAATTATCTGAAAAGAAAACATTTCTGATGACCTAGGATGGACAATGGGATAATAAACCCAAAGGGAAAAAGAAAAAAAAGCAAACCAGCAGCCCAAGCCAACTTTGTGTGGCATCATAAATTGTGTCCCGCTCTAAAATGACCTGGAGTTTAGAAATGAAATGGCAGAAGGGAATATATGGTGGAGTTACTGTATTGAAAGTACCAGCTGCTCCTGGGTAGCCTTTTTCTTCATATCAAAAGAGGGCCTGCAGAGGGAAAACCTGGCAACAACTTGAATAGTTAATCAATGGAAACACACTTGTTCCCTGGGAATAAAGAATAAAATTAGTACAATAGGAAAATGGTTAAAGGCAAAGAGCTGAGGTGAACTGAGAAAAAGAAGGAGAAACATTGAGATGAATATCTGTTGTTTAAATTGGCAAAGTAAGGGGAAAACAGTGTTCCAAGAACAATAACCTAAACAGCACTGGAAATCAATTAATGATGGATTGGCTGGGGCTGAGCAATACAGATCTCCATGGATTTACTGTGTAGTTCGCTGCTGTGGTAGCTTTATAGCTTTTTTTCCAAGTATCCATTTCAGGACATCACCTGAGAAGGACACTCAGGTGTGGCTATGGTTGGATTAGGTAGAGAACTGGTGATTTATCAGTACAGGACCTGTGTTACTGACGGTGTATTTCGGATTTCCTGCTGCTGCTGCCATTTGGCATCTCCAAAGCCTTGTGGAGGTGTCCCACACGGGATTTTTTTGCATCAGGAAAAGATGTAGTCTTGAATTAAGAGGATCACGGTGACCTGCCACTCCATTTACATTCCTGCAGGATACTGGATGCTGGAGACCAGATTGCTCTCAGTGTCAGGGAGGCAAGGATTCAATTTTAGAGAAGCAGGCAGGAAGCAGTGTACACCAGGGAAGCTATCTCTAATCCTGATGCCTGTCACCATCTGCTTGTGGGAAGTTATCTCCAAGCAGAGGGTAAGA